TTTAATTTACCAACTTTTTGTCTGTCCGCCCATGTGACCAAATTACATTTCTGATGTGATCTTTATGTTGTTTATGTGGATGCATCAAAAAAGTAACTATGATGCATCAAAAACGTAACTTTCATATCACTTTGCATAGAAACTAAGGGTCGCTCTGGACAAAAAGATAGTATATATTTTATATAAAGGGAAAATGTTTTTCGTGCACCTGCATGATTATGCATCCCCTCGGATTTCGTATGATCGCCGAATCTCAGTTTGCAGCACGCACAGCAGAATCTCATGATCTAACGACTATTTACAGGTATCACGTAAATCTTGTGCCCCAACAAATTCATTCTTTATATTTTTTATTTTTTTTTTGATCCTTATCTTTATATCTTGCTTTTATTTAGTAAAACGACCCCATTTCAAAACCGGTATTTTTCATACTTTTTACCCTTTTATGTTTATCTTAGCACTTTCTTATTTAGTAAACAAACCTTGTAGCGATTACAAACGAATAAAAGGTATAATAGAGAATCTTTAAATTTCAATAAATCAATTCAGCTTTAACAAAAAAAACATTAATAAATACATTACAACATTCTTTATATCATCGCTTAAGTAAATTTAGACAATCCTGGCAATGAAATAATCTGTTTCTCTACGAACCTAGCAACAAAAATAAAGTTCCTTTTTGCAATAAAGTAATACAGCAACAAAAATCAGCAACAAAAATCAGTAACAAAAGAGCAGTGACGAAAAACTATCTAGCAAGTATAGTTACAAAGCAACGTGGGTTTTAAAGCAAATTACATAAGCAAAGAAGGTAATATTTGGAACTTTTAGTTTAAATAGTATGTAACGATAGCTGTTGTAATTTACTCTCTATACTTACGTATTTTTTGCTATAATCTTAATCCAAAAATAGATGATGCATAATGAGAATACATACGATCTTGAGTCTGGTGAGCCGATAATATGCGATTCTGTAATTGCTGTTCAGGAAAATGAGGATATCGGATTGGGCTGTTCTAAAAAAAAACTATTTGAAGGAATGATATTTCAAGATTGGAAAGAAGCGTTTGATACATTAACCCTATATTCTCAACATGAAGGGTTTAAACTAAGAAAAGGACGCGTTGAGAAAACTTCTAATGGGGCTATACGAAAAAGAACAATGTTATGTGAACACAGCGGTGAATATAAACCTAGAAACACACAATTAACTAAAGAAACAAGTACAAAATATATCAAATGTCCGTGGCATGTAAATTTATCACAACCACAGAAGAACAATCCTAATGGAAATGTCTATCTTACCACTTTAGATAATAATCATAACCATAGCCTGTCTCCTTTTAGAACAAAATTTTTTAGTGATAGTGAACTTACTCAAGAAATGTATGAGCGAATAGAATTTTATGTAAATGCCGTTAAACTAAAGCCGTTACAAATTCAAAGAGCTTTACAGAAGGAATTTCCTGATCATGAATTCTATCTTTCAGAAATTCATAAAGCAACGGCAAAATATTATAGTGAGAAATGAAAGGAGATATCAAATGATGCTTCATCATTGTACGAAGAATTAGTAAAAAAAAAAAATGAAGACCCTCGATGGTATGTTGCAGTTGAGTGGGACCGAGAATCACATAGCCTTCAAAAACTATTTTGGATGTCTCCCGATCAGATTATCCTTTGGATAGAGTTTAGTGAAATTATATTAAACGATAATACTGCAAAAACAAACAGATATGACTTGGCCCTCTCACTTTTTTTATGTGTCGATAATCATGGGTCTTCTCGACTAGTTGGATGTGCGCTTCTGAATGATGAATCTGCAGATTCATATCGATGGGTTTTGCGTCAGACAAAACAAGCTACAAGTGGTTGTGTGCCCACTGTTATTATGACCAATGCCGATCCAGCATTGGACCTTGCAATATCTGAAGAATACAAACAATCATATGCTATGCATTGCATTTTTCATATTTCGCAAAATCTTCCTCGAAACCTTGAAGCTAAGTTGGGTCATCAGTATCAGGAGTTTGTTAAAAATTTTTATATAGCCAGAAATTCGCTTGTTCCTGAAATTTTTGAGCAAAGATGGTCGCAATTAGTTGAAAAATATAATGAGCCTAGGGTAGTAAAGTATTTGCAAACATTATATTCTTCAAAAAGAGCATGGGCACGTGCATACACAGCAAAGGTCTTCACTGCTGGCATACAAACAACCTCTCGCGTTGAGAGTTACAATGCTCAAGTTAAAAGATTAATTTTAAACTCTAATATTGGTCTTCTCGAACTTGCTGAAGTTTTGGAAGCAAGTATAGAAGAAGAGAGTAAAAAAGCAAAATATGCTTATTGGAAAACACAAATTCCATTAACATCTTCCACCACTACATTGCCGCAAACCTTGTTTCCTGAACTTGATAAGGCTTTGAGCCAGTTTATTACACCAGAAATGCAAAAAATTCAACGTGTTGAAATTAAAAGTTGTCTAAATTATCATGCATCTGCTATTACAAAGGATGAAATGATTAAATATCAGGAGGTATGTAGTACTGTATATATATTTTTTAAAAGTATTGCAAATGATACTAGACTTACAAACCTTATTATGATATTAAGCCCGAGTCAGATGATACCTTGTTCGTCGAAGATGATGAAGATATTATGCAGATTTCCATCAATTATATATTAGAAAATATAGACATTAATGAAATAAAGGAAATCTGGGCTATTCGTGTAATTACAGCTTCGACATTCTGTCATTTTGTTGTTCTTCTTTCTGATAAGACTTATGTATGCTCTTGCTTGGGGCTTGTAAATCGTGAGATAATTTGCCGTCACTTTTTTCAAGTGATGTTATGTAGTCATATAGCTGTATTCCATATTACATATATTCATAAAAGGTGGTACAAAAATATTCATAGTGATTTACAAGAAGAGCCTTATTGTGTTGCTGCACGATTTAGTAAAAATTATTCTCAAGATCAACTTACAGGATTCGCCAAATCTAATATAAATAGATTGTTTACACCTATGACTGATCTCCGGGACGAAAGAAAGGAAAATATTAATGAGCGAAAGTTATATGGAGAATTATGGGGAATTGCACGAAATCTTACGCAAAAAGCAGTTCAATTTCATAGACAAGATGTCCTTAAAAAATTACAAAATTTATTAACTGAGATACAGGAAGATGATTTAGTGAATAGCCCGGCCAATGATGATAACGATGAGACATGTAGTAATAGCTTAGATGATAATGAAATATGCGAAGAAAGTAATTCATTAGCTGAAATACCTCTTCAAAACCCCAAAAAACGTAAGGCGAAAGGACGTCCAAAAAGTTCTAGATGAATCAAGCGATCAGAAGAATTAAAGCCAGCCAAACGTCAAAATCAATGTGGAAATTGTGGCGAATACGGGCATTATAGACCTAAATGTTCAAAAAAGTAATTAGAGAAAATGGTGTAACAAGTTATTTTTTTTAAATAAAAGCTTGAATGATCTTTTAAATAGATACTTAACATGAATATTATAATGCCAACGTTAAATGTTCAAATGTGGGGTATTAACAGTATTAGAGGTGTTGTCACAATGCCGTAATTGGTCATAATTATAATGATTACTGCATTTTTGCTGTAATTATGACCAATTACGGCATTGCGACAACAAAATTTATCGTTTATAAGTGATCCCTTTTTAATGGTTAGGGCTAGGGTGAGTGCTAATATTGCCCTTTTTTCATGTTAGGGTTAGTATAAGTTATAGGTAAGATCTTTTAAAGAATTTCTTTCACGAACTATGTGCATTCTGTAAGTTGAAGTGGTGACTAATAGGGCTGGTGACCTACCAGCAAAAACTACACTAAACTCTAATACTATCTAACAAAATAAGGCGCAAAAAAGAGACATGAGATTTGGCTTTCATGGTTACTGCGGCGGTCATAGGAAACTCTGTTGATAAGTAGTCTTTGATGATGCTTTTATTTTTTTCTTAATTCTTGCTTTCTTTTGGGCAGTTACTGATAGTATTGGTTCAATTCTTTTAGCGCGGCGGGGTCTCAATACTTTATTCCGATCGTGAATTGTGATTCACGATAATCACGTGATTTTAGTTACGAAAGCGAAATCACGGGGATCAAGTCGATAGTTTAATTCTGTAATTTGGGGGTCTGATTATTGATTTAAGGGTTTTCCCTTTTATTTGCCCTAAGCTCAAACGATCGATAATCATGGGGACACGAAAATACGAAAAACGATTTATTACGAACGATTTTTACGGCAAAGGGTGTAATTATTAGAGAGCCAAACTTCTACTAGACTTCGAAGTGTAGAACTCAACTGTTATTCTTTATCGATGGTAAATATCAAGCACCTATACTTTCGAATTACATAAAGCAAATTTTGGTTTCTTTTTTTTTTTTTTTGCCATATACTGTACCATTCCAACGTCTTCTTTACTGTAGATACGTGGCAATTTTAAATCACATTAGTAAAGATCTTTATAAGAATTTTACTTCGGGTCTTGAGTTCTTGAATCGATTCTGGAATGTTACAGATAAGTATCTCTTCTCTTCTCTTCGTTCCAATCGTGTACATACTGATTAACTCTTTTTATTCGAGTAACTAGTAAGAATCTTAAATATTTAAGCCTTAATGAACTATTTGCAATCAAATAATACCGTATTTGAGAATCTTTACAAGAACACTATTGTTACCTCTATGGATTTATATAATATCAGTGGCGATTTTAAATCCAAGGCAATAGACGTAGCAGTAAAGATCCTTTATAAGAATTCTACTTTGGTCCTTGAGTTCTTGAATCGGTTTTGGAATGTTGCGGATGAGTATTTCTTTTCTTCTCTTCGTTTCAAATCGTGTACATTCTGATTAGCTCTTTTTTTCATGTTAACTAGTAAGAATCTTAAATATTTAAGTCTTAATGAGCTAATCGCAATCAATTAATCTCGTATTTGAATATCTTTATGAGAAAACTGCTATTACTTCTATGGATTTATACAATATCAGTGACGATTTTAAATCTAAGGCAATAGACGTAGTAGTAAAGATCCTTTATACGAATTCTACTTTGGGCCTTGAATCGGTTTTGGAATATTGCATATAAGTAATTCTTTTCTTCTCTTCGTTTTCAATCGTGCACATACTGATTAACTCTTTGTTTTTTAGGCTAACTAGTAAGAATCTTAAATATTTAAGTTTTAATGAACTATTTGCAACCAAATAATATCGTATTAGAACACTGTTATCTATGGATTTATACAATATCAGTGGCGATTTTAAATCTGACAATTGACGTGGTGGTAAAAATCCTTTATAGGAATTCTACTTTGGGCCTTGAGTTCTTGAATCAATTTTGGAATATTGCAGATAAGTATCTCTTCTCTTCTCTTCTCTTCGTTTCCAATCGTGCACATATTGATTATCTCTTTTTTTTTTAGGCTAACTAGTAAGAATCTTAAATATTTAGGTCTTAATGAATTATTTGCAGTCAATTAATATCGTATTTGAACACTACTGTTATCTATGGATTTATACAATATCAGTTGCGGTTTTAAATCTAAGACAATAGACGTAGTGGTAAAGATTCTTTATAAGAATTCTACTTTGGGCCTTGAATTCTTGAATCGATTTTGGAATATTGCAGATAAGTATCTCTTTTCTTCTTTTCTCTTCGTTTCCAATCGTGTACATATTGATTAACTCTTTTTTTTCAGGTTAGCTATAGTAGTAAGAATCCTAAATATTTAAGTCTTAATGGACTA